GTTTTATAACACTGATGTTTATCTCAAAGAAAAGAAAAAGAAAATTATTTAAATTATTTTAAAATTGGTAATTAAATTTAATAATGACCTGATCTGCATTTGCATATGTACAAAATGTCACAACAGAACATATGCCAAAAGTAATTAGGTAAATGGGAACGATGAGAAAAAAACTGTCAAATAAATGGGCACCATTGATAAAACATTCGCGAGCTGTATTCTTATTAATATTACTTATTTCAGTTTATTTTGTCGTGTAATAAGACATTATACTGTCTTTTATCGCATGTTTTATGTTATTCGTTAAGTATAATTTTGTGCAATACCAAAATATATTTGAACAAAAGAAACCAAATGCTGGATAAATCGATCCAAAAAAGTAAACATTGTTATGCAGTGTACCTATGATTTTTATTTATTTTATACCCTAACAAATTAAAATAAATGTTTATATACTAATATTTACTCTTAGCAACTTCATGATTTTGTAAATATTCATAAGCATTGAAATTAGATTTAAAAAATAGGATTTTTCAATTTCGTTCAATTAATTTTATATTACAACACAATGTGATAATAGTAACGAATCCTACATAATACTTTAAAAAAATCAATGGAACTAGACCCTTCGTTGACTATTAAAATGGCCAATTGAGCGGAAAATACTAATAATTATGATAGCATCATTTCACAAACAAAGGGGGAAAAAATAGCAAGCTTAAATTTACTAAACCACAGTAGTTTAATTAAATTATAGTTGATGGCCATGTCGTTAACGAACTGCATTTCACTTTTTTTGTAAGCAAAAAATGACTTTATCATAAGGTGACCAGTTTTTAAAAAATGAAAAGGAGAACGAAAACTTTAAGAAAAAAATACAACGTAAATATATGAAACATTTTATTAACTCAAACAAAAATACACTAATTACTCTTAGAAATTCCTTTTAAATATTTTCTTAAATGAGTATTTTTTCATCGAATGAATTCTTTTTGTCAATATATCATTTTCTAATACTTAGGAAATTTCGGAGCAAGAAATATCCATCAAATTGAATTTTATAGTAAATGCTGCAACTATGTAAAATATCAACATTCAATCTTGATTTTTCACACGTTTAATAAGCATTACCAATTGAAAAAACTCTTTCAACTGCTGCATTAGTTCCTGGACAGTACAACGAAAATTCAACAAGAATAACTAATTTTTCACGTGGTCTAATACTTCCACCCATCCTTTATCAATTTCGACATGTTGATTTTCTCATTGCTCTAATTTATCAGAATTTAAATATACATTTAGTGTTCTAACTTCTTCAAACAAAAGTGTAATAGTTCGGCTAGGCATCACTGAATATAGATTAACAAATTAGTTTGAAAATATTGAAAAAGGAGGACAAGTAGGAGGACACTTTTTGAGGAAGAACAGAACCTATAAAAGCAGGATTGTCCTCCCTTAAGGAGGACGATTGATCACCTTATAAATCATAAATTAGAAAAAAATGAAAAGAAATAACTATAAAAAATAATTGCCTGGAACAATATCGTCCAGGCAACAGTATGTCAGCTAAAGTACTTAAGAAATAAATGCCTAGGAAAATAGAAAGAAACATTTAGTGTCGCGTATTTCCAGCCAATCTTTCAGATGAGTGGTCGGTTAACCAAAGGAGCCCTAACATAATTTTAAAGTATAACTAGATCACGAAATAACACATGATCATTCATATTATATAATATCAATTGTAATAAAAATATTGCACCTAGAAAACTTAGACTGAGGTCAAGATTTGTTTAACAAGTAGTATACGATTGTTCTACACGTTAGCAATATAGAACGTCAAATTCAAAAACTTCAGAATGAGACACACTGGAGACAATTCAAATTTACGAAAAAATGTCCGAAAATGCACCACCCTCTTCGAAATGGATGTATTAAGGGATATATTTGTTAACTTATACTTCTAAAGTACCTTATCAACTTCCAAAGGAGCTTTCATTAATAGAACAAATTAATTTCGGCACTCCTTCTAGGAGCAGTCTTTATCCTCTAAATCAGGGGTGGGCACACTTTTCCAGGGTAAGGGCTACTCCTAATTTTTTCAAGGTGTTGCGATCCCCCCAGGGGCGTAACGGAGAATATTAGGGCCTCCCTGCAAATTCAGGTTTTGGGCTCCAAGCCCTAATATGTACTTGGCGTCAATAACTTTTAGGCCCCCTAGAACCACGGGTTCCCGCAATGCGGGGGTGTACGTTACGCCACTGGGTCCATTCAGTGGCGTAGGTGTAGTGAGCTAATAGGAAGTCAATAATACAGTTGGACCTCCATTTTACGAACCCCTATATTAAGAATTTCTCTATTTAGCGAACTTTTTCCTGGGACTAGGAAAATTTTACGATTTTCTTGGTAAAATAACCTCCAATTATCGAAGTACATTTTCTATTTAACGAACTTTTTCTTTTGCTATTCGATTTTTTTTCACCGTATTTTAAAAATATTTCCAGACCTTCGTATGCTGGTCTTTCGACAAAAGGCGGTCACCCCAAAATGCCTTGGCGGTCCACTGGGCGATCGCGATCGACTTAACGCCCACACCGACTTTAAATAATAAACTAATAAGGGGGAGTTTTCTCCCTACGAATGTAAATTGTTTATAAGCCTTTTGAGATCATACGATTGACGATGTTAAGGTCTGATCCAGAACCATTGCCAATAATTTATAGTGAGAAACCTCACTGCTACATTAATAAAAGCGAATGAATGGTTTAGAAAATAACACAAAGAAACATACCTTTTTCAATTCCTACTAATAGCTCAATCTCTATATATTTATATATTTATCTTGTTCAAATTTTCAATCGTTAATAAAATACTTTCTATTCATCCACTGAAATTCAAATAATTTTTTTTAAGTTGTAATGGATGACACTTGATGTCAATACAGTTTTCTCAAATAATTCATTAATTAAATTTTATTTTTTTTTTTTATTTTAAAATTATTCTGCGTTATTTCCTTCGTAATTAAAATTAGCTGCTAACAGATGGCGCCAATAAGTTTTTCTAACAAAGTAGGAATTGGCGTTAAAAATTTTTTTTTTTACATTTTGTAAACAAATCTCAAGGATGATTTACTTTAAATCTTTTACCTCTATTGTGACCTGATACCTAGAGAATATGCTAAAGATAGTGGAGCAGTCATAAGCTCTCAACAAAAAATGGCAAATTTGAAAAATGAATAATATTTTTTTATTAAACTCTCTAGTTAATATTTATTCCGTACCTTGTAACAAAATCTCTGACCCTAAGAAAATCCGCAAACATAAAAGTAAATTTTATGTCTACCTTTCCAACTATACTCAATTTATTCTCCAAATTCAAGCCGATTTATTAAATGCATGTTCTACCGGAAAGCCAACTATTAGATACGGATCTCATCAATCTCATAACAAGCAGTAGTCTGTATCATTCACCAGGTGGATTTAGCACCACAATACCACACAATGATCAATGGCTGAGATTCAAACCGACAACCTGGAGGCAACGATTTCCAAGGAACGACCGTATCGATTCTTTATTTAAAATAACTCTTCAAATGTATACATATGCGTTTCTTGATAACTAAAATTGCTTTAGGCACCTTCGAAATTCCTCCCATCACAACTATTCAACTAATAATCCACCAATTGTTTCTTAAAACTATGCAATACAAGAAGAATAAAAGCATTTTATGCTTATTAGTATATGAGCACTTTTAAACTAAAAATACATTATCATGAAAATTAATCCAATTTTAAGAACAGAAACTTAAAGAACGGATGTTGTTGTATCACTTGGGGGAGTTTCTTTTTCCGTAAGGCGTCGAATATTAAGGGGTTATATCAAGCAGCCTTTTTGCCTATTTTCATAACGTTAAACAAAGACCAAGTGTAAGAACAATTTTTTAAAAAATTATTGGTCGTGCAATTACAAAGTTTTTTATACGCATTTAGTGCATGATTATTATTTTAATGAGGGTATTTTTAAAAATTTTGAGAAGTTTTTTAAAATTCATATGTAGTGTAATATGAGAAAAGCTTCTAAACCATAAAAATCCACGTACATTTTAACATGTAAATATTTTTTGAATAACTTCTTTGACACACACAAACCCAAAATATCTTAATAAAACATTCATTTATTTAATTAATATATGTACAAAGTTTCCAAGTCATAATAAGAGTATAATTTTCAAAAATGTTCTACCTGTATTGTAATTTACACTTTTGAGGAATTGTAATTTAAAAGTAAACACTATTATCTTTAAGTAATGCATACCAGTACCACAGTTTGGAAAGCTAAGATAAGCTAATACAGATAAAATAAAAATTTACACTGCATATTTTTTTTTCCTATATAAATTGAAATATCAATTTTTTTCCCTGGTTTTCGTGAAGAAACCCTCTTTAGTAATCTTAGCAGAAACCATTGCTTTATTCAAAAATCTATAAATTAATAAAAATTTTATTTTATCAGTATAAATGTTGGTAAAAAATATCCAAATGATTTATAAAGATACAAATTTCAACATTGTGGATGTACAGTTAAATGTCTATAATTGAATGTGGGATATTAGAAAGAAATATTGCAAAACAAATAGAAATAGAACAAAAATACTTGGAAAAAATAGCAAAATACCATCTGATAACAGAGAAAAAATAAAAAACAAGTATTATAAAAAAAATTATAAGTCAATTCCTACTTAGGTCGAAAAAGAAAAATTCTATTTTAGTTACTTTTTATTAAATAGTTACAATTAATATAAATATGTATATACATATGACAGAACCACAACATTTAGTGGCAAGATAGAAAGCGCGCGCGATTTTAAATACATTTTTCTATTTTCCTTTCTATATATAGTGATGAACTATTATTTTTGTTTGTTACTATTTATTTATTAATTTAATTTAATTATTCGAATAAAATAGTATAGTTAAAAGAAATCACATTCTCAGAAATTATGTCATCCCAGGTGGGAATCGAAACCACGACCTTTGGATTAGATGTCCAACAAGCTATCCATTGCGCTGCAGGGACACAATGAACAATTTTACTTTATATATATGCTGTTGGACTATTATTTTTGTTTGTTACTATTTATTTATTTTTTAATTTAATTAATGAATTAAAACATTTGAAAAAAACTGTATTAACCTTTAGCGTCATCCACAACAAGTTTTAAAAAATGTATTTTTAACTTGAATGGCTGGATAGAAAGTATTTTATTAACGATAGAAAATTTGAACAAGATATATATATATATATATATAAGGGAAAGAAAGGACTAATAGTAGGAATTGGAAAAAAAAAACAATCAAAGGTGGTCTACAGCGCAAAAACATTATAAAGAGGACATACATTTATTTACAAATAATAATAATAAATAAATAAATGAAGAAAAAAATGTGTTCAACAACAAATAAAGAAAAAGAATGCTCTATGTTTTGAAAACAAATAAAAACAATTCTACAATTTTCAGTTATATTTCATTTTTGCAAAAAAAAAAAGTCTTATTTCTACGTACAACAAATCCTTAAACGTCAACAGAAAATTATAAACATTCTTTATATTCACTAAGATTTATTGTTCACTTTCTTTAAACATGTTTAAGTTATAGTTAGGGATGATTATGATGTGTTATTGTTGTGGGCTTTTATAACTACAATTGTATTGTATACTTTAAAAAAATGAGTTAGGGAGCAAAGTAGGAACAAAATATTTTTCCTAGATGTAATAACTTACAAGATCATGAAAACCAGCCTCAAGGTCTATTCAAAATGATTCATTAATATACTAGGTTTTAAAAAGGAAACAAATTAACTATATAGATATAAAAAGAAAACATCACATAAAACGTAAAAATATATGAACTATGTTACATGCATAAAATATTCATTTTATTTCACCGAAAAGAAAAATATCTGAATAATCACGTATTTCTTCTCTTGTTGTTATACACTTTCTAAGACTTCAGTACAACAGAAAAGGATTCAGAATAAATACTTATTAAAATTATGATGTTTGAAAAAGTTATTTTTAAAACAGTTCATTCACGCAGCTTGTTAAAAAAATTAGTCAAATAAGTATTTTACATTTAATATTAAACGTGATTAGTTTCGGAAAAATAAATTTTACTTGAAAGAATTAAGTTTCAAGCGATTAATATCTTTGAAAAATCAAGTTTAATTACTTTTCAAATTAAAAAAAAAGAAATGCATTAATTAAATTTATAAAGAAATATTTTTTTTAAGAATAAATCGAAAAACTTCAAAAATGCAAGATTTTTCAAACGGAATGCGTTCATTTCTCTTTAGTCAGATTTAAAAATTCTCATCAACAAAGGAAGAGATAAATTACGCTTAAATAAATGTTTTCTAATGCGTTTAATTTCAATAAAATTTAGAAAATAAAATAACATTTTTCGTTTAGATAATGTTTGTAACACAAATAGAGTTCTAAAAACTCATTAGTATCTCAAAATAAGGTAAGAGTTTATTACGTTAATTTAAAGAAGAAGGAATCAAAAATAAAGTTTTCTTGTCTTACAAATTAATTTTTTGAAAAACACAGCTTAGATATCTTATATATTCAATAGAAAAATAATCAACAAATAAAATCGAGGAAAATATGTCTCAGTTTTTAAAACAATTTTTCTTACAGAAGAATTTTAAATAATTCATGCAACAGATATTTTAATCCGTAAAAGAAATATAGAATAAGGAGAGGAAAAACAGATTTTATATTTTTTTTACACTAAGAAAAGTAATCGTAAAATAGTCTAAAGTTCTAAGGAATAATAGAATAAAGATATATAACACTGTGAAAAAACATTAAAAATAAACTTGTAAATAATACAAAGTGAGTGAATTCAGTAAAAAGCGTAAAGATGTAAAATTGAAAATTTGATTTAAAATATTAAATACATCTGACTTTATTTAAGGTATCCAAATACGTTCGGAGCCATGATAGTGCAAAGGCGTACATACGAATAATTTTTTTAATATTTAGTGTCACTTAGATTAGAATACGCATATAAAATTGTTTTAAGAACATTATTATAATAAAAAATTATTTAAATGCGATGTTTTGGCAAAAAATAAACATAGAATTACCCATTTTTTAAAAAAAAATTCCTTTTGTGAAAAATGCTTCTATAATAATAATATTTTGTGTGCTTATATATAACTAAGACTTCTCGAGAGAGCCTGAACTAGAATTTCAGAAAAATTCACGTTATTTTCACAGTTATTACCAAATAATAATCGATGCTTTTTGGCTAAAATTTTTCCACTTTGATGTATTAAAATATAAATAAATCCGCTTCTAAATTATATATTTCAAAATTCCTAGCGTGGTCTCTGTACAGAAGTCTGAGCTACATTTAAGCAAAATATTATTATTATTATAGAAGCATTTTTCATAAAAGGAGAATGTTTTGAAAATTGGTCATTCTATGTTAATGTTTTGATAAAATATTGCATGAAAATAATTTTTTTTACTGTAATAATGTTCTTAAAACAATTTTATACGTTTATTCTTACCTAAGTTAGAAGAAAAAAAAGAAGAAAATATTTGTTTGTACGTTTTTACAAAATCACGGTTCTGATGGTAGATGGATAAGTACTAAATAAACATAAAAATAAAAAATGTGTCAAATTTGTAACAAATATGTAATATTCAAACAAGCCGAAAATAAACAAACAAATTTAAAATTATTCCTCTCAAAGCAATGAATAAACATAGCAAGACATATACAATAATAGATTACTTATTGCATATAATGCGACAATTACAAGCAATTTTATTTGTGATTTTACTGATATATGTGCAACTAAAAGGTAAATATCTAGAAAAAAGAGTTACAGTTAAAATGCCGGTGTAAATGAAAACTTTAACACTTCAAAATAGTCATTTAGGTATTTCAAAAATGATTTGCCCAAGAGCTTTATATAAGCCAAGAATTATTTAATAATGATGCTATTTTTAAAAAGTTTTAGCGGAATAATAGGCTTTTATTTTCTTTAAAAAAAAAAGTTCATTTTTAACTGCGCTTTGAAACTCAAAACATCCAAAAGTACGTTTATTTACAAACCATTGAATATTAATTGTTCCACAAATATTACACATTTTAAGACATGTTAAATTTGTATCGAAAACACATCGTTATGTGTAATGAGATAAAAATTCAAAATTACAGTGAAAGTTATTAAAACATTCAATACATTTGTTTCGGATCACGTAATAAAATGGAAGTGAATTAAGAGAACATGGTTTACACAAAATGTTTTAATTTAATAATTTTCAAAATTTTTTTGATTGCCTCCTAGTGTATGTATTATAAGAACAGATTTTGTGTTCTAAAAATTTCATAAAAAGCTAAGCATTTAAACTTTTAAGGAAAAACTTCAAAAAACTGATTTTAAAATGGTTTTTTTTCAACAAAAATTGACTTATACACATGAAATTTGATTTACAAGTACGTCAAACTATGTATAAAAAAACCCTATATGGGTTTTGTGATAGCATGATTGATATACATAAAATACTTTTTTTTCTGAATTCCTATTGAAAATTTCTTGAAAAATGTGTAAATTCTAAATTCAACTATTTTTTTAAAAAAATTAATTATTGCTTTGATTTAAAAATGCATACCAAATTTTATTACATGTATTATGAAAAATAGTTAGAAAAAATATTACAGCATTAGGCTCAATAGAAAAAAAATCTTAGCATTTTAAATGAAGACAAACTAGTTATTTTATCTTTCTGAGATAAGTTTAGATTTGCCAATTTGGAAGTGAATAAATACGAAAGTAAAAGTTATCATACCTCTGCACTTTTTTAAACTTAAAGCTTTAACATTTTGTGAGATTATAGAAAAGTATATGAAGGATAATTTATGTTTAAAAAAAATTAAGATTTGATTTTTTTTAACGATTTTTGTCAACTGAATCCAACTGTGTCTCCTTAAATATTTTGCTTAAAACCAAAGATACATTAAAACTTTAAAATAAATATCTATGGTATCCGAATACATTCGGAACTGATATTTTGCAAAAACGTACAAACGAATAATTTTTTAAATAGTTAGTGTTATTTAGATTAGAATACATGTATAAAATTGTTTTCAGAATATTATTACAATAAAAAATTATTTGAATGCAATATTTTGGCAAAAAAATGAAAGAAGTATCTGTTTTCAAAACATTCTTCTATTAAGAAAAATACTTCTATAGTAATAATATTTTGCTTATTTATAGCTAAGAATTCTCCAGATAGCTTGAACTAGGATTTTTGAAAAATTTGCATTATTTTCAGAGTTTAAATAATTATTGGTATTTTTTTGTTAAAATTTCTCCACTCTGATGTATTAAAATATGGATAAGTCCACTTCTAAGATATACATTTTAAAAATCCTAGTTAAGGCTCTGTACAGAGGTCTGAGCTATATGTAAGCAAAATATTGCTATTATAGAAGCAATTTCTAAGAAGGGAGAATATTTTGAAAATAGGTTATTCTTCATTCTTTGCCAAAATATTGCACTTAACACTTTATCTACCACATTATGATTTACTGCAGTTTTTTTCATGCAATATTTTTTTTTGGATCACTACATTAAAAATTAAGGGATATACATAAACAAAATACTCCACTTTGGGAAATTTAAACTGTTAGAGCTAATTAATTAATTAAAGATATTCCACTATAAAATTAATTATATACACTGTTCACTTAAAATAAAGAGTTAAATCAAAGAGCTCATTAAAATACAAAAAAAAAAAAAAAATAAGACACTTAAAATTTGACATTTTATTAAACTATTTTTTGGGGACAAAAATGATAATCTTTGCAATCCTCTGAAAACGCCATCAGCTGAAAACGCAATTTCTGCTACAAAACTATTCGCCTTCCCCGCTAAAATACTCATCTTAGAGCCCATGCTGCCATATATCTTGGAAGAGTGGATTTCAAAGAATATCCCTGTCTTTGTCAGAATATTCGTAAAATTGGTTATTTTATGTTATTTTAAAGTGAG